CCCTCGTGCCGTCCCCTATTCCCTGGCCCCACTCCACCCCACATGGCTTTCATGGTTTCATCAAGACGCCACCTTCTCAATGAAATGCCATGTGTCACGTGGGCTACCTATTGGCAGGTAGGAAACACACACACAGAGAAACTTGTTCACCAAAGCTTCCGATCCACTTAGCAAAGGGACAGAAACTAGGCCGCAGCTGGGTGGCCACATGAGCAGGAGGAGCTTGGAGCTTCCCTGGACCCCGAGTCTCTAGAAATGGACCCTGTGCTCAAGAGAGGGATTTAGATGATCTGAGGACCGTAATTTCGTGAAGCATTGCTTTTCTATGATGCAAACAGGAGGGTTGACATTACTATGCCTCAGTAAAAGGCATCCAGCTTTTTCTGTTCTTGTACCACCCCATCATATCCCCATCCTCAAGCTCAGAGACTAGGTGGAAGCAGCAGCCCAGTGTCTCTGTTTTCTCTACCTCTATCTTTCTAGCTCTCGGGTGTTTCAAAGCCCCTGATTTTCCCTCGCGTGACAGGGATGTTGATTCAGCTTATAGCCTGGGGCCACTATCACAAATCTTCTTCCTTACAGGGGGTTTCCCTACTCCCCTGGCTAAAGCCCCTGGATTCGTGTATTCTTTTTTTTTTTTTAACATTACATTATCACTGTTTACTTACTTAGCATCTATTTTCCCCCGTTGATCATTATGTAAGAAAGCAAGAGACCATGTCTGTTAAAAAATGTTTAATGTCTGAATAGGTGATATATTCATGCAATTCAAAAAAATATATAAAAAATATACAGTAAAGCACTTTGCTCCTACCTATGGGGACCTCCTCCTCCTCTATTCCCATCTCTCTCACTCCCTTCTCTCCTGGGAAATATTACTTTCTATATATGGTATTTTGCACATAACTTTTTGAGTTAAAGGTATATATGCATCTCTAATTTTGATAGATATTGCCAAATTCTCTCCAAAGTTGTATACCTATTTGNACCATGTCTGTTAAAAAATGTTTAATGTCTGAATAGGTGATATATTCATGCAATTCAAAAATATATATAAAAAATATACAGTAAAGCACTTTGCTCCTACCTATGGGGACCTCCTCCTCTATTCCCATCTCTCTCACTCCCTTCTCTCCTGGGAAATATTACTTTCTGTATATGGTATTTTGCACATAACTTTTTGAGTTAAAGGTATATATGCATCTCTAATTTTGATAGATATTGCCAAATTCTCTCCAAAGTTGTATACCTATTTGCATTTCTGCCAGTAATGTGTGAGAAGTCCTGTTTCCCCAAAGCCTTGGAATAAAATGTTATTAAAACGTTCGGATTTTTCTAATTTCGTTGGTGAAAAATGATACCACATTGTAATTTTTGCCATTTTTTTTAAATAAATAAGCTTGACAGACTTCCATATCTGTCTGTGAACAATCTGTTCATACTCTTTGACCATTTTTTGTAGGGTTATTGATATTACTGCTTTCTTGAGACTATATATTAGAAAGATTGGCCCTTATAATATCAATTGCAAATATTCTTTTCATTGTATTTAAGATTTGGTTGGCCATGCAGAGGTTCTTAATTCTTATGCAGTAGAATTGTTTTTTCTTATGTGGTTTCTGAATTTTCAGTCGTATTTAGAAAGGTCTTCCTCTATCCAACGACATGCAGAAATAATCTCAAGTTTTCTTGTTAACATTTTTACGTTTTTATTACCTACTTGTAAATCTTTTACCATATTGGGAATCTATCATGTTATAAACTGAGAAGTATGGACACAATTTTATTTTCTTAATGATGTCTCAAGCCATCTGTTTTTCCCATGCCATTTGAGATGCCTCCTTTATCACATACCAAATTCCCACATAGAGGTAAATCTAATTTTGGACTCGTGTGCCTGTTTCATTGGTCTGTCAATCTGTCAATATGCTAGCACCACATAGGTTTAATTATTCTTTTTGTGTGTGTGTGTGGGTGGGGGTGTCCAGTCCCCGGCTCGATGTTAATTATTCTTTTGTACCTGTGTTATAGAGCTATTTTCCTTTGTTTTATTTTATTTTATTTTATTTTATTTATCCTTATTTTATTTTTTTTTTCAGAGGTTTTCTGGCTTCTAAATTTATATTTCCATATGAACTTTAGAATCAATTCAGCTTGAAACACACCACTTTGGGTTTTTTAAAATGCATATGTGTGTTTTAATCTTTTAAAAATGTTCTGAAATTGAAAATATCAAACACATATAAATGTAGACAGACTAGTATAATGAACCACCTTGGACAGGAACCATCCAACTTCAACAATTATTTCATGGCCAATCTTTTTCATTGATCTTCCCATCCATTTTCTCCTCATATTATTTTGAAAAAGATTTCAAGTAATTTCATCCATAAAAATTTAAATATGTAAATCAAAAGATAAGAATTATTTTTAAAACAAAATTACACCACCATTATTACACAACACCCACAAATTGTTTTCTTAAACAATAATTCTTCAATATCTAATAATTGTCCCATAAATGCCATCAATTTTTTCCTGTTTTTAATTGAGATCAAATTACATTGACAGGTTAACTTAGGGAGAATTGAAGTCTTAATAGTAGAGTTATCCTGTCCAAGGATATGGTACATTTTTCCATTTACTGATGTCTTCTTTTAGTTATTCAGTGTCATTAGGGATTTTCTTCACATAGGTATTTTACTTCTTTTATTTGATGTTTTCTATCTTTGTTGTGGCTTTTGTAAATTATACCCTCTAACTGGTTGTTGTTTGTGTTTATGAATGATATTGATTTATGTATGGTAATTTTGTATCCACTAACTTACTGCAGTTTTTCTTTGTTTGTAAAAGGGATGTCCAGTCCCCGGCTCGATGTTAATTATTCTTTTGTACCTGTGTTATAGAGCTATTTTCCTTTGTTTTATTTTATTTATCCTTATTTTATTTTTTTTTCAGAGGTTTTCTGGCTTCTAAATTTATATTTCCATATGAACTTTAGAATCAATTCAGCTTGAAACACACCACTTTGGGGTTTTTTAAATGCATATGTGTGTTTTAATCTTTTTAAAATGTTCTGAAATTGAAAATATCAAACACATATAAATGTAGACAAACTAGTATAATGAACCACCTTGGACAGGAACCATCCAACTTCAATGATTATTTCATGGCCAATGTTTTTCATTGATCTTCCCATCCATTTTCTCCTCATATTATTTTGAAAAAGATTTCAGGTAATTTCATCCATACATATTCAAATATGTAAATCAAAAGATAAGAATTATTTTTAAAACAAAATTACACCACCATTATTACA